GAGCCGAAGGCAGAGGCTTTAACCCACTGAGCCACCCAGTGGCTCAGGTCATGATCTCACAATTAATTCAATAAAATATAGGAAAAATCCCCAGAAATATTTGTGTACACTCATGTCCAGTAGCCATGAATCATTTATATAATGATTTACGATAGTATTCGTAAGTAAACCAATTTTTTTGTGCCTTACAAATAGCGTAAATGTCATTATAACATATTTTGGTACCTCAATATAGGGTGAATATACCCTAATACTTGGTATATCCATTCTTAAATGCAATAGTAAATTCCAACCTTAAACTTTAATATGAAAAACCCAAAAAATTATCTTTTCAAGAACAAAGTCAGTATGTTTTAAAAAGGCTGAAGATTATGGGCCAATTGATTCTTACTCTGTCTCTTCAGGAAACATTTAATGATCACTATATCTAGATCAGCCTGCCCAACAGAACGTCCTGTGGCGATGGAAATGTTCTGTATGGGCTTAGTCCAATATGATGGCCATTAGCCACATTGACTATTGAGCACTTGAACCCTGGCTCATGAGGAACGGAATTCTTTATTTTACTTAATTTTAATTAAATTACATTTAAATAGTCACATGTGCAGAGAGAAAATAGATACCAATGGGTTAGGATAGAAGGATGAAAATGATTTGTCATTTCTCTCAAAAACCTACAAAGCAGTGGGAGAAATAACATGCAAACAGAGTTCTACCTCGAAATCCCAGCTGAATTTTTATGGCCCTTAATAAAGTAGAGATTTTATATGGAAGAAAAAAGCCCCCAAATCACCATGATAATTCTGAAGAGGAACAAGATTAGGGAGAGGAGGTGGGACTTGCCCTACCAGATAATCAGAGTTCTTCTAGAGTTCTCATAATTAACAAGGAAATATTGGCATGGAGCTAGTGTAGTAGAACAGAATGAGAATCCAGAAACATTCATGCAGGATTTTCTTTTTTTAATCAAAATACAAAAAAAAAAGGGCTATAAGGAAAATTGATATATTTTACTATATCTGAACTCAAACTTTTTGTATTCAGCAAGACACTATAAACAAAGTTAACAGACTGAGAAGACAGAATCTACACCGTTGGTAAAGGAGCAGAATACACAAATAAACAAATTAACTTCCCAAAAGTTCAATAAAACAAAAAATAACAAAGAGAATGCAGGCAGAGGATATGAAGGGGCCTCTCCCAGAAGAAGAAACCTGAATGATGAGTAAGCATGAAGAATATGGTCCATCTGACTATATCAGGGACATGCAAATCAGAACAATGAGACTGCATATTCTACCCAGAGCATCTGCCAGTGGGCTTGAGTTTAACAAAGCCGAACATCAGCACAGATGTGGACGCTGGCAGGATGCATGGTGCGACCACCCCTCCAAAAGCAATTTGGCAATGTCCAGTGAAACTCCAAATATGTGCACTCTAGGCCCTGCTAACCTATTTCTAGGTATTTGCCTTCTGTCAATTCTTGCACAAGTGAACAAGGGAACTTGCCCAACAGGTTCACTGCAATGTTACTTGTAACTGTGGAAAATTTAAAATGAGCTAGATGTCCCTCAGTCGGGGAAGGACAAATTGTTGTGAGGTCGTTCAAAAGGATGACCCATAGCAGATGCCCATAGCAGGTGGAGTAAATGAGCTGGATCCGCGTTTATTGAGGCTGATGGGTCTCAAAACTATAATGTGGTGTGAAGAAGAGAAGTGACAGGAAAATATGGGAGTATGGGACCAGTTTCGTAAATGTCAGAGCACCCCAAGTACTATGTATTTTTCATGTGGGATACCTGCGTTTTAAAAGGATGAAAACTGGACAAGACGAATATTAACAACTTCATGATAGCTATACCTGGACAAGAGAGGTCTTGTGCCTTTGGGAGTGGATCTCTGGCCTTTTTCTGCTCCAGCCCCAGGGCTAAGGGGTTGTACCCACCTGAAGCCCATCTCTGCTCCGTCTCTACAGTGCACCCCTCCCACTCCCACCTTGGGAGCTGGAACCCCCAAGATTCCCTGTCCAATGGTCCAAGGCCTCTTCCTGGGCCTGTGTAGGCCTTTCCCCCTGGCCCACCTTCTCAAGAAAGGGCCTGGTGTCTGCCTCGGAGGCAGGGGACAAGGAATAGGATCTGAAGTCATCTGAAGGAGACTTCAGCTATGTCTAGGAATGTTAGTTCTTCATAACCATACACCTAAAACAAACACAACAACATGACCCTGCTAATTCTGGGGGTGGGGGGTATTTTTTTTTTTTTTGCTCTTTTTAATAGCTGACTCATATATATCACTTACCATGTTTCAAGTACTATTCTAAGTGATTCACCTTTAAAATTAGATAGTTTATTCCTACTCAGTTTTATGGAAGACAACTAAATGACTTGCGGAGGTCACTCATTGCAAAAGAAAAGGAATCTGGACCCAGTAGGTTTGGTTTCAAATTCCATGATCTTAGCTATATTCTAGGTCTACTTGACCATACACTACATTACACTACAAAAAAAAAAAAAAAATTAAAATACCCGGACAAATACAACCCAAAGAAAAAGGTGGTGGAATTTTGTGAGAAGGTTCTTAGATGTGTGAAAAGCACAGACGAAGAAGGCTTTACCTGGGAAGGAAGGCTGTCGCGGTGGTGGGGCAGGCTTCATGAACCAGCTGCCCCCTTTCCGCCCCAGCCTTGCTAGGCAGTGGGCAGGGAAGGGCAGGCGAGTGAAACGCCAGGAAGAGGGAACTTTGTGTATACAGGGATCAATTTAGGAAAGTTCAAGAAGGATTTGAGGATTAGCAAGTAGCTATGTTTGGCTGTTACATGAGGGGACAATTTGGTGAGGGACGTAGGTTGGGATCTTTAAAGGGAGGTTGAGACAGGATTTAATCTGGAAGGCAAGGCAGGCTCCGCAGAGCTACACCGTGGCCATGGCCAGCAGGCCAGCTGCTGGTGAGGAACCCCCAGGGGCTCTGGCGAGGGACACTGAGGGGCCAGTCAAGAAGCAGTCAGGTATGCTCACCTACAATGAACCGGGCATTCTTCCAGGTGGTGGGAGCATGGAGTGAACAAAACAGAAGTTTCTGCCCTCACGGAACCTGCATTCTAGTGGAAGAACACAACCAAGATAAATACGTGGGATCTCCAGCAAACAAAGGGATACGGATACGCATCTGCGAGACGGAGAAAGCAGGGGAGGGAGCTAGGAAGGACGGCCTGTGCACGTGGATGTGTGTAATGCGTGGTGGCGGGGCGGTGGAGTGAGCTGAGGTGCCGTTGGAGGGAAGGCCTGCACACTGAGGGGTGCTGCGAGGATCCGGAGACTCAGAGCCTGGGGCTGGGCCATGGTTACACCACAAGGAGGGGCAGGAGGAAGAGCTCGGTGGGAGGAAGACAGATTGAGTCTGGGGTCCAGGGGGGCAGTTAAAAATAGGGGCCAGAGCCCCGAGCGTGAGACACATCCACCCAAGAGTCACTGCTAACTTGGTGATGGATGGTGGTAGATACGCTTTATTTTAGTAGCTAAGATCAAGGAACAAGAGAGCAATAGAAACTGGCAATCAGAGCGTCCCCGCTGTGTGCCCCCGGCACGCTCGGGTGTTTTAGTCCACACAGTACCTGTAATGCTAAGGACAACCCTGCGGCCCCCATAGAGTTAATTCAGCACAAATAACACCAGCAACAGTAGCCCACACGAAACAGGTTATAGACTACATGCATGAGACACTTTCCTGGCCCTTTCTTTATACATGTCATAATATGTTAATTCATTCCGTTTTTACAGAGACCCAGGAGGGTACTAATTGGCCTCATTTGACAGGTGAGAATGCCCCGCTGGCCAGGGTAGTTGCCCAAGGTCACAGGCCGGTGAGGGGATGAAGGAAAGGTTGAAGAGAGTGGCCTGGCTCCAGAGTTCTTGTTCTGGAAGGAGGGAACCTCTCAGCCTTCCAAGAAAAGCAAGCTGAAAGCACAAATCCTTTTTGAGGACGGGGTGTGGGTCTGGGGAGAAGAGCTAGAGAGATTCTCCGGTGACAAGGGCGAGAGAGGAGGCTGGGCTGGGGCAGGGAGAACGGGTCAGCTCTGCAGCCTGGGGTGGCCCGCAAGCTGGCCGGTGAAGACCGAGCACCGAGCACTGCACCCAGCAGCCCAAAGGGACGAATCCCAGAGGCCAGACGCCAGTGCGGACGCGCTCTGCGGTCCTCTGGGAGCGGATGAAGAAGTGAAAACCAACCCTCAAACCAACCAAACACCCTTTCTGAGCGATTTCAGGTCTGGAAAGTAAGTCTGAAGGCCCCGGCTGAGGAAACCTGTTTCCCTCTGGAGGTCCCTTTTCACTTTGAATCTGAACGAGAGGCTTAAACTCTAGATTTCCCAGCTGCCTCTTTGAGAAAGTTGGGCGACTTCTTAGATGTGACCAGAATCCCCCCCTGGATCCGGCTCGGCAATGGGTCGCCAAGCGGCCTTTGAGCACTGAGGGCTGGAGGGCTGGAGGGAGTGTCCCCGGGGCACAGGCGCGGGACCCGGAGCGCGCGTCCTTTGTCCCCCGTCCTCTCGTGCCCCCCCTCCCCGCTGCCCTCGAGACCTCCGAGAGGCCGCGACCGAGGAGCCCAGAAAGTCGTGGGTGACCCTGGAACTTTCCGATGGGGCGCGCGACCCGGGGCGGAGCGCAGAGCCCGCTGCTGGCAGGGACCGAATGGAGCTCCGCGCCAGGCCGGAGGCTGTGCCCGTCACTCGCAGTCCCGGGCCGGGTGGCCGGCGCGCGGTGGCTCTGAGCCAGGCCGCGCCGCCCGGGCACCGCCGCGCGCCCACCGCGACCCCGCCGCCGCGTCCCCGGGGAGTGCCGCCCGGGCCGCCGCGGGCGCCCGAGGTCGGGAGGCCGGGGCGGCGGGCGCGAGGGCCCCGGGGGCCGAAGGGCCGGCGACGGCTGGCGCGGCGCCCGGGGCTGTGAGGCGGGAGCGCCGTGCGGAGGGGGGGTGGGGGGGAGCGGCAGGGGTGAGTAGGCGGCCGGCGGGGCCCGCGCTCACTCGGAGGCCGGGCGACCGGCGGCAGGACGCGCTCGCGGAGTCGGGCCCGGCGGCGGCCGGCCGCGCGCACCATGCCGTCCTTCGACGAGGCGCTGCAGAGGGCGGGCGAGTTCGGGCGCTTTCAGCGGCGCGTGTTCCTGCTGCTGTGCCTGACGGGCGTCACCTTCGCCTTCCTCTTCGTCGGCGTGGTCTTCCTGGGCAGCCAGCCCGAGCGCTACTGGTGCCGCGGCCCGAGCGCCGCCGCGCTGGCCGAGCGCTGCGGCTGGAGCCCGGAGGAGGAGTGGAACCGCACGGCGCCCCCCGAGCACGGCGGCGACGGCAGCTGCCGGCGGTACCTGCTGGAGGCGGCCAACGCCAGCGCCGCGCCCGACGCGCTCAGCTGCGCCGACCCGCTCGCCGCCTTCCCCAACCGCTCCGCGCCGCTCGTGCCGTGCCGGGGCGGCTGGCGGTACGCCCAGACCCACTCCACCATCGTCAGCGAGGTAAGCGGGTGGGCACGGCGGGCCCGCCCGACGGGACGGCGCCCTTCTTTCCCCGGACGCGGCGAGGGCGGGAAGCCGGCCTCCGCGGACGGCCCGGGGAGGCTGGCACCTGTTGGTGGCCTCTGGGGACCGACCGGTGCATCCCGCTCTCGAAGCGCCGCGCGCGACAGGCCCGGGCGACGCCTGTCGCTGATTGCCCTCTGCGAGCGAGCGGACGGAGAGATGCTTGGGTTTCGGGTGTGAACCACAGGTGGGGACAGGTGCTAAGTTCGCGGATGCTTCGCACGCACCTCCTCGGGCACCCGAGCGTCCCGTACGACGGACGTTGTCGTCGGGGTGGGTTTGCGCAAAAGTGGGAAATTACGGTCCGACTCGCGGTGGAGACCTGCGGCCCCTGGGGCGAGCGACTTGGTTGGGCCGGGCCGGATTGCTCTGTGGTCTTCAGGGGGTAAAGGAAGGGCGGAACGTCAACTGGTTGCCCAGAAGATGATCGGAAATGCACGGGGACAGAGGTCAAGACTCTCCATGGGCATGATTTTAGCAAAACTGCTCTGGGGCAAAGAGCAACATCTGAGAGAAATTGGGAAAGCTGTGGGTTTCAATGAAGAGTTTTAATTTTAATTTTTTTTTTCCTGTTAGTAAATTACAGGAAGGCAGCAGAAAGGGCTACAAGCCTTACAAGGCAGATCCCCCTTCCCAGGGTTGGCCGCCTGGCTGTGTTTGGGACCACAGCGCATTGGTTAGCGGCTGCTCAGCCTTGGCCGAAGCTGGGCTGGGATGGCAGTTTCTTCCTCATCTTTGTGCCTTAGCTTTGGGGACTGTCTCCACGGAGGCTGGGTCACAGGAACGAACAGTTTCTTTGAACTTCATGGGCAATCAGAGATCAATTTAATTTCCTAAAAAAATGATTGAATGTGCTCTGGCAAATTAGGAAAGAAACATTTTTATCTTCAGTTACTGTCATAAACGTTTTTTAAGCACTTCCTTGAATGAGGCGGAAAACTCTAGATATGAAGTTAGCGATGCCTCTTCCATCACTGTTCATGGTGACCTCATCTCTCTGGTGTTGGGATTCTAGATCTTTGAGGTCATGCATGTTCTATAGTGCCATGTGTGTATGGTCCTATGCTAAGTGGTGTCGAGATAAAACCTGTGGCCACCCAGACAGGCAATGTGTCTGTGTATTTGGGGTACTTTAATTTCTACTTGACCTGTGGGTAATGATGGCGACTGCTTCATAAACTATGTGGGGTTGCTGTTAGGGATTTCATAGATGAAATGGACAGGATGTGGACTACAGTGGGACCGGGCATTATCCCTAGTGCTTCCTCTGAGCTGTCCGATGGCTTCTGGTATCCCATTTAGCATGGCTGCTTAGTGCTTACTTCCCAGGCAAATTAGAAGATAAGCCTTGGAGAGAGGACACTGGATTTTTTAAGACATTTAAACCTCAGAGAATAAAATGAACCCTCAAAGCGAAACGCACATGCGCTCAAGTGGGGTTTCTGTGAGCCAGTGTGATCCCTGGACATCAGAGAAGGGAGACATAGAAATCTGTGAGTTAGTGCCCGGACAGATACTTGCGAAATATTCTGGGGTTCTGGAGTTGTTTCAGGTGACCTGGGGTTATTTCAAGGAGGGACAGGTGGTCTTATGAAGATCAGTGGCTCCCAAAAGGCAATGTGGAAAGTGGAAGGTCAGGAGACCTGGTGTGGTACTGTCTGCAGCTAGCTGTGTGGTTTGGTTGAGTCACTTAACCTCTCTGGGCTTAGCTTTCTCATCTGTAAAATCAGAGGCTGGACTAAGCCCTTTACAGTCTTACAGATGCCGCCGGTGTTATAGCTGGATGGCTGCTTCAGGGTGCCCAGAACAACAATAAAAATTTTCAAGGAGAAGTAGAATGATACTCAGCATGCACTGCTGAAGGCCACCAACACGTCTTTGAAGTATACTGGAGAGATTTTTTTTTAAATCCCAAATTGGTCACTTTTTCTGGTTTGTTTGTTTTTAATGCTTTGATTCTTAGGAGAACCCCCTCCCCCGCCATCCATTCAGAAAACACAACCATTCAGAGCAACTCATACTCTCTCAGAGTTCTGCCTGGCTCTCGCTTCACTGGCTTTGGTTTTGAAGATGGTCCATTTAGTTTTTGTTTTTTCATATTCCGTCGGGATTAAAGGAACTTTACTTCTGTCTTTGGTTCACACTGTACCCGATGTGTTTCTACAGACTTAAAGATTAAGATATTAATCATGGACAGGGCGTGAATTGCAAGAGTTTTGAAGATGCAAGGGCGGACCAGATTCCAGAATGTCCCCATACGGCTATTCCGCTTCGTCCTTGCACCAGTGGGGGGATATATCATTGTCTTAGCTTTGTAGAAGAGGTACCTGAATCAGGAGATGTGGAAGGACCTGCCAAAGTCCCAGACCTTCTAAGTGGCCCAGATGGGTTGAGATCCAAGGGTCATGAGGGTGAATCATTCTCCGTTCCTCTAGGTAGTGCTCAAAGTCTTGGGGACGAGTCCACGCAAAATAAGCACTCGCACTTTAGAAGCTGCAGGAGATCATTTGGAACCTTCATATTTACTTCATTCTTCTGGCCGATCTGCCATTGTATTTCATTTCGTAGCAGGAGCAGCACAGTGAGCCGTAATCATCCAGACCAGCCAGGAATGTCTCGCTCCCCTTGACGTGACCATTACAGAATGGTCACCTGAAACTCACCCACTGTTTCTCCATCTTACAAAGCGAAACAGCTCCAAGGAATGAAGTCAAAGTCAGTGCCTAGTGCAGGGCTGTTTCAGTCCGGCCCCTCACTTACTTCTCTTGCTCAAGATGAGGCAGTAGATTTTTCACTGATAGGTCACTTCCTCAGGGCGGACTTTCTAATGTTTGCGTCTCAGCCTTGCGTGCTTGTCAGACGCTGGCCAGCGTAGAGCGTGACAGAACGCAGGAAAGTCTGAGGCTCCTCCACACACACACTTCAATTCCTTGCCTAGGAGTGAGTCTTTGAAATGGATGTTAGGTCTTTAAATGTTTGCTTGTATGCCATAAATGGAAATTTTTAAAAAAGGAAAAAAAGAAGGAAGGAAAGAAAAAGAGCTTCTCCCTAGTGCCTCAGTGAACCTGGGTTCAGAGCACCTTTTAAAAATAGTCTGAATCAGTCTCATTTTTCCTTTCCAGGTCATTTTTACCCCCCAGTAAAAGGAACGCCCATATGAGGGAAGTAGCTGCCACACTGGAGAGAGTGGGGGCAGCTTGGCTTTGTAGGGCTTCACGTGTCTCTGCTTTGCTCTAACTCGTCTATCCCACGGCAGAGGGCCAACCCAGTCAGTTAACCCTCGGACATCAGAGGCGCCAGCATCCTCTCTTCCCTGAATGTCAAGCATGGAAAGTCTCTCCAGGCCCACGTTTTAGTCTGGGCTCATTCTCTGCTGTGCTCTGGGCACTTGAGAAAGATCTTGCTTCAGCACCGGTTTTATTGCTGGTTATTATTGGGGCCTCCCTTGTTTCTTGCTCAATCAACCTCACCAGGAGGACATCGGCTTCATCATTACTTCTAAGACCCACATAGGTCACTGTTCCTTTTTATCTCATTAAATTCTCCTCTTTATTATTTGCTCTTGTTTCCCGGATTGACTTCTGGTATGCTTCTTTCAATGGAAGTTTGATGCATATCTCAGTTATTTTCAGCCTTTCTTCTTTTGTAGCATAAATATTTAAAGCTATAGATCTCCTTCTGTGTACTTTTTTGACCATACCCGACAAGTTTTGAAATTCAGGTTTCAATTATTATTCTATTCTTGGTATTTGTAATTTCCATTATTTTTTCATCTTTGGCCCATGACTTTTTTTTATCTTTTTTAGTTGTTGCCTTGCAGTTTAGAGTTGGTGTGTCAGAGAACGTGGTCTGTGTGATGCTGCCTCTTTGGACTTCATTGAAGTTTGCTTTTTGGCCGTTAAGAGGTCAATTTTCATAAATGTTCTGTACGTGCTCTAGAAGAATGTGCAGTCCTTAGCTATTGGGGGCAGGGCTTATAGACGTCCCATATTTGAAGCTTGTTTCTTGTGCTGTTAAAATATTCTAGATTTTAATTAACTTTCCATTAGCTTGGTCTATTGAGATTAACAAGTATTGGAATTAGCCATTATGTTGATGCTTTTGTCAGTTCCTCCCTTTATCTCCAGCAGGCATAAAAAGTTACATACATGGGACAGTTTTATTGGGTGTGTGTATCTACAAATTTAGATTTTGCTTGTAACCTACATAGTGAATTGAAACTTTTATCAGTGTTTGGAGACCCTGTCTAAAATCTGTGAAGTATATTGTCTTGCTGTCTATTTTGTCTCATACTAATGTAGTCACTCCAGCTTTCTTTTAGTTAATATTTGCCTGTTGTATCTTTTGTTTCCCCTTACTTTCAAACTTCCCATGTTCTAAGAGTTTAGATGTATCTCTTATAAAATGCATATAACTTGATTTTGTTTTTAACTGATACACATAGTCTCTTTGCATTTATTTTATTCATTGATATATTTGAGCTTGTTATATTATTTTTCTCATTTTTTCATAAAATATGTAGAATTTTATATATTATTTTTGTATATTTTTCATATTTTATTTCTCATATTTTTCTCATATCATATTATTCTATTATACATATTATTTCTATGCTTTTTTTCCTCCCTTTAAAAAATGATTTTTCAATTTGTTTTTCTTATTCTATTTTGTTCCTTTATTTATTTGGAATTTAGATCCTTTATTTCAGCTCTTTTAGTGGTTATCCTTGACATTTTACTATGCTTACTTAACAGCACCTAAATTTAATACTGCAATCTTCTCAACAATTTAGGAAGTTTCAACACTTTCACTCAGTCTCTCACCTCGTGTATCACAAGCATTTGTAGCCAATATCCTAGGTCTTTCTTTTAAGTCTTAATTTATGGGCTCTGTGTAGATCACACATGCTTGGGTTTACACTGCTCATCATTTTATAC